AACCACTGGCCAAAGTCTTGGTTGCTATGTCTGGGGTCGAACAAATTTCGTCAAAACGAATCTGTCCGGCTTTCCTATGTAGATTCACTAAAGTGAATCTTTGGAAACTTGTAGTAGCTACGGGATTAGTAAAAAAACAAAGAAATAAGAAATAATAATGAAAAATAAAATTAAATTATAAAAAGAAAACCAATCCAACTAACAACGAAAATCAAATGAATAAATAAACAAATCTAACAGCTAACTCCCCATTCACGCCAAGTGTCGGGCCTCTGCCCCAGTCGGTTCTGACTACCCAACTAACTCTACTAACTCTTTCCACGGAGGTCGCGGGTTCAAGTCCTGACCGTTCGAAACCGGCCAAAAAGTAGAGCCCCCTTTTTCAAAAGGGAGTTAGCTCAGAGGGTGGTAGTATTCGTTCCCTGTATCCACTGTTTGACAACCCGAACCTAAACCTACTAAGCTAGCTCCCACTTCGGGTAGAAGCAGAGCAACCCTACTATGTATCTAGTAGAGGGGCTCAGTCCATCCAGCGGCCTGAGCCCGTTCTAGCCTGTGAGTGTGTGCACGCTGGCTGATTTGCGTGTCTGCTTATGTGCTCGCCGACTTGAGTGAGTGTGTGCCATGTAAGGGCACTTAATCGTTCGGAAGGCTTGAAGGACGAGTACTTAGCCGTGGCTGAGACATTGAGGGTCGCAGCGGGGAAAACACTCAAGTGGCGAAAAAAGAGGCTCGCGGCAGCGGAAACACTCAAGTAGCAGGCAACCGGTGCCTCACTACGTAGAGGTAAATGCGCCGGGTAATCGGGGTTGAGCAGAAGAAGACAAAAGTTGGTATTTTTAGACGCGCAGTACCAGTAGGTAGGCAGGTACGGACCCAAATCTCAGTGTGTGTCGTAGATCCACCTGTCACAATACTAACCCAATCAGCCCCTCGACCCTTTTTGGTCAGAGGGTATTACTACTGGTCCGAACCATCACAGCGCGCGTCATAATAACGTGCGCTCACACTCTCGAAATTTTCTCACCGATTCGCCCTGGCCTCATTGGCCGAGGAATTCGTTTCGAGTGTCACGCTGAAGCGTGCACACCCTTTCCATTCCAGTCCGGCTCCGTCATGGTAGCCGACGTCGTCACTGTGTCGAATTCAAAAGCATGGCCAAATACCCTTGTAAGCTAGGCTACCAGTTGTCCGATGGCAGGACGTCCTGGCCGGACAGTCAGGGGGTTCCCGGACGTCCGGGCCCGGACAACTCCATTTTTAGCAATTAAAAGTACGAAAAAAGTAAAAAAAAAAGGGGGTTTATATTATTTTATTTTTAGTTTTAAA